CTTACACAATGAGAACGACTATTGAGTAGAAGTTGCCCACTGGGAAGGACCGCAAGCCGAACGCCAAAAGCGGATATTTTATCTGCGGTTGGATTTGGCACGTAGAACCATTGAACTTGTGATCGGATTGTTGGGGAAAGCCGTGCAAAAGTTACTTCTGCGGAAGGCGACGTCTGAGTGTGGGCGTGGACCGCAAGCAGGTCGCTTGCCAATAGAAAAAATGTTATTCCTGAGCAAGAAGCTAGATCAATGCTAGCAAGACGTGTTGTCGATGCTTGAAAAGGAAAATAAAACCACTTGAACTTCGAAAGGTTTGGGATATCTGTGATTTGCAGTTGTTTTGGTCTACATGGGGATGCCAGGCGGCCAATGCCGAACTGAAATGATAATTAGCAACAGTGTCATCACCGAAAGAAAGAATTTACAGACTCTGAAGTCGACTGTCAAATTCTGACTAGCCTCAATAGTTGTGTAAACAGTGAACCGAGATCGAGACTCCTGCACTGGGGATGCAAGCCTCGTGATGCGTGCGATGCCCTTTGAGTCAATTGTTAACTCAATAGGACAGTTTGAACCAACAGTGTTGGTGATAGGTTGGCTCCCACGGTGCCAGACTTCGATCCTTGCTATTGGTACCGAGGTTGGCTCATCCGAAGCTGTGGAGAGATAGTCGACAGCTTCGAGAACGGCGGAGAAACGCAAGAGAGAGTGCTGTCCCAGGAAATTCCATATAATAGTGGCAATCTCGTTTGGAAGGCTAGCCAGCCTTCTCAGGTTGTATCTGTCAGCTGCAAGCTGACTAGCGCGGTCCGCTTCTAGTCTTGAAGGCAGTAGAAGAGCCGGGCATCTAGGCCATGGATATTTTGCGAGTGAGTATGACCAGAGCCGATGAAGTTTGTCCATGCAGAAGGCTCGTGACATGTAGAGATTGAAGCAATCCACATGAATAGTTGCAGTCTCTCCAGCTTCCTCGCATCTCAAGCATCGAGGATAACGACAGAAAAGAAAATTTTCCCGATTGTTTCCATAGCTTGTCAAGGGAAAGTCCATGGCATCTAGGACCTTGCAACAGGATATCGGACCCCCGGTATGAAGGACTTCAGACAAGGTGTCAATGGTTAGCTGTGCGCCCAAACAATGCGGAAAACGGGTATTCTTACGGGCAACTAATCGGTCTCCAACATCAAAAAGAAATCCACAAGCACCACACTGACGATGGATGCGCACATGTTCAAGTTCACGCTCTTTAGGATCGGCTTGGTTTGCAGACACAGACATTGTATGTGAATCAAGTATCGATAAATATTAGGGAGAATATGGCATGCAAGGCATCTTAGTCGATTTGTTCGAGGACAGTTGCTGTGTGGAGACGAATTGATGGGATTCTGTACTAAATGAAACAGGCAGGAATGGTAAGATTCTCTTTTTGCCCTTCTGGTGCGGGGTGGAAAAACAACGTGAAAGGTGTTTGGAAGCAGGGACTAGAAAAACTGGCATCCGTTGTGGCACCAGCTACAGCGGGTAGTGGCTTTTTGGAGGTGTGTCGGTGCGGATTAACATTGATACGGACGAGCGCAACATGCCAACTAGACGTTGCCGCAGCAAAACATTGACTACTAATTGACAGGCTGTGCAAGGAGGTGCGGAAATGTTGGATTGTACGATGTACTAAGGTAACTGGTTACCTAGAGGTCCTTTTGTGGACCACGACTGTGGTTCCACCCAGCCATATTCGGTGTGGCGGAAATATGCCACATACCATGGATGTGTGTTTGGGCCCTTGGATCACGTGATCTACTTCACCCTCTGATTGGCCAGCTCAACCCAGCCACTTCACCTCGGCCAGCAGGGGACACGATCGGAATGCACAGTCACCCAGACGCCCATAAGATTCAGGTACAAGGTACCCACTGTTAGTATTTGTTAGGATTGTAAAACGCTCCGGCCCACCACACTATTGAATCCCACGATCATGGCCGCCTCCTAGATGTGGAGCCATCGATCACCGTTTACGGTTTACGGGGACGCCAGTACATCTCGACGGTCTGGACGAGTCCGGAAACGACCGGAAAGAGCAGATTGGCCGAGCAGGTTAAATACCAGGACAATATTGAGCTTAAAGACGAGATCAACAAGCTTGCGAATCTCGTCCAGGATCTCCTACGACGAAACGCCGAGAGGGAACAATTCCTGGAAGACTGTTTGAAGAAGATCGAGTCCTTGGAGAAGGAGCTTCAGGAGGGGAAGCAGCGCTCAGGCCGCCACCAACGCGGCCTAGCAAGGTCCATGCATGCTATTGGCACATGTCCCAGTGAGACTGCCCAGAGTCTTCCAGGGCATTCCTTACACACGGCACAGAACCAGTTGCCTCCAGCCCTCTCATACGCCGCGGCGGCGAGCCAGCCACCGACCAGGAAACAGGATGAACTAACGCCAGCAAAACAAACCGCAAGACAAGCTGCAAAACAAGTTGCAAAGCAGATTGCAAAGCAGGCGGCCTTGAATGACCTGCGCGTCTTCGCGCGTCTGCCACCTGACAGTCCGCTTCGTAAAGAGAAAGCCTACGACATAAACGCTTTCGTTCGAGAAAAGCTAAGTCCCCAAGCTCGAGAAGCCCTCAAGGGGATTGACCATGTCAAGACAGGATTGGCACTCCTACCTTCGTCAGTGAGTGGCGCAAAACTCCTGCTAGATAACAAAGAACAGATTGCCGGCCTTCTCCAGGTGGAAGCCATCGAGCAGCGCGATACCTGGATCCGAGCCTATATCGCAAACGTCCCCTACACTAGGCATTGTCTAGTAAGCAACATAGAGCTAGAGATCACGCCCGAGGAGCTATTCGAAGAGATCCAGCTTGCATGCTTTTCCAAAAAGACGAAATCGAGCCTATTTCAAGGCGGAAGCCGTAAGGCAACTACCAAGGCGCCTCCGTTTGATGGGGGCCAGCGTTTTTGTGAACCTGCAGTTTCCGAAGGAGAAGAGGTCTCCCCAATGCCACCGCTGCGGCGGCTTTCACAACGAACGAACGTGTACCAGAAGGAAGAGATGCCTCAAGTGCAGCTCGCCTTCCCACACAACCGATCAACACCAGGCCCCTTGCGGCGGCACCGAGGGTCACAATGGCTGCGACTGCCCCTTTAAGTATCCATCGTGTAACGGGCCCCATGCCGCCTTTGATACGACTTGCCCTATCAAGCCCAAGCTGGTGAAGGGTGTAGACCAGAGGAGGAACAAGGCACAGCTACGGGCCATCCGGGCTGAGGGAGAGAGATCGTGGAGAATTGCGACTCAGCAATCGCATCAACAGTCTCGAGAAGGAGGAGAAGAGATGGACTACAACCAAGCAAATGAGGGACACCATGAGAAGGCAACCCTCTAGAGCCCTGCAGATCATGCAGGCGAACGTAGCCAGACGACCACTCGCACACGAAACGGCACTGAATCTGGCCTACGCGGCCCATGTCGACATCCTCCTACTACAAGAGCCCTCTATCCGGTCGGAAGAGAGAAGGCCCACAAGATACCACCCGGGTTTCGAGATTTTCACCCCAGTGGACAACTGGGTTGAAGACAGACCCAGGGTGCTTACCTATCTCCGCAGAGGAACGGGGCTACGGGGCGTACAAATACGGCCTCTACCCGATCCATCCACGGACCTGCTTTTCCTACAACTCCTGGCAGGAACGCAAGAAGTCCTCACAGTCATCAACGTGTACAACGCCCCTTGTGGCTCGCTGCGACCCGGCCAAGCGGTTAGGGATATCACAACAGCCTGGCAGCCCGGACACCAGGAACGAGTGCTGCTCGCGGGTGATTTCAACCTCCATCATTGGACCTGGCAACCCGAGGCGACAAGCTCCTCTGACGCTGATGATCTGGTAGAATGGGCAGAGGCCGCTGGCCTTGTCCCCCTGTCGCCGATAGGTGAAGCCACGCACAAGGGCGGCAACACGCTAGACCTAGCCTGGGCGTCCGGCAGCCTTTACGGGGCATTCACCAGCATAGAGACATCCCTACACACAACGTCAGACCACGAAAGCCTGCTTACCCGGGTCCCCTTGGCCCTAACCGTTTCGCTCAACCCCACCCCGGGGAGGTTCCGGTTCGACACGATGGACGAGAAGCTCTTCCTCGACATCCTTCAGCGAACCGTACTTCCCATGCGCCATACTGCGAGTAACGCAAGGGACCCACAGGCGTTGGATCGACTAGCACAGCAGCTCACAGATTGCCTTGGAGAAGCGCTTACGGCTTCTACAAGGCGCACGTTTGGCAGAGGACCTGGGAGGCCATACTGAGAAGAGAACTGCACACGCAAATACCGAGCCTACACGACCAAGAGAGCAACTGTGGCAAGACTGTGCGCTTTGGGAATAGATTGTCAATGGGAGCGAAACGAGGAGGAGGCTCTGAAACAGGACTTTCTCCATCAGGTACGGCACTCCAAGGACACGTACTGGAGAGGAAAGATTGCCGCAGCCTCCTTTATATTACCCATTCAGTACTATGCATCAGAGGCATGGTGGCCCGGCAGGAACCAGACTAAGAATGGACACATCACCTCGAACGGAGTCAACGGTCTACTTCGTTGACTTGACACCACGCAAGCCAAGGCCATTAGAGCGGCACTTTCTGTGTATAAAACGACGCCTGTACCGATCCTACAGCGCGAAGCAGCCCTGCCCCCAGTGGAGGTGATGCTGGATGCAAAGCTTCACAAAGCCTCTATAAGGGTTCATCACCTTGACGAACAACACCTCCTCTGAATGAGGCTCAGACAGCCCCGGACCGGACTCAAGGCTGCGATGAATGGCAAGCCTCACTGATGTAAATGCTGAATATATAGACCCGCTAGAACCACCACCTTGGGAGCGCTTAGCTGACTGGCACACAGCCCTCAGCATCGTCGGCTATGAACCTAGGAAGACCCAAGAAAAATTGGCCAGCGCCTTTACAGACAGATTGGGAACATTCTCAAAGCGGGATATTGATATTTATACTTACGGCTCCCAGATGTTGGACGGTAGCATAACCGCCGCCGGAGCAGGCTGGGTAGGGTACCAGGCCACACGGCAGATCTTCCGAGGATCCGAACCGTTCGTCCACCAGACAGAGGTCTTTGACGCAGAGGCAAAAGTCGCATATCGAGCCTTGTTGGAAGCCATATGGTCTCCCACGGCCCGCATGGCGGATAAGGTTCATATCTGCCTCGACAACCTCGCAGTCGCAGCCAGACTCTATACCCAGAGCGCTGGAAGCAGCCAGGCTAGGTTTAGGTCCTTTAGTAAACTCTCCTCCTTTGGATACAGAGAGAACGGACAAGCTGGACGATTTCCGGCAGGGTAAACGTATGGTGGTACCCTGAACACACAGGTATACCAGGAAACGAGGAAGCAAAGGCTCTAGCCAAGGAGGCCTGCAAACAGACCCCAGACTCACAGCCTCAGCCTACACTAGCGCACTTGAAACGGCAGTCAACAGCAGTAGCTTTCCAAGCTTTCGCTAGGAGATGGCCGTCAATCTGCCCTCGGCAGTATGCTGACCTTGGGATAGTCCCTCATCCCAAACCCCCCGAACTTTGCCTTCCTCGACATCTGCTCGGAAGGCTGCTCCGCTGCAGCTGCGGAAGACGCAAGACGCCAGTACATTCCTTCTTCTGCAAGAGTGGCCGGAGGGCCACGCCACGCCATTTCCGCCAACGTGTGGCGAAAGCAAGCATAGATTTTCTGCTAGGCTCAGCACAGGGAGCCTCCCTTCTATGCGAACGGATGGAGGCGACCAATTTCTGCTCTGAAATCTGCCCGAGTCATTGAACAGGAACGTTAGGTGAAGACGGCATCCTGTAAAATGGTTTAGATTAGCATCGACCATGTCGGCACAGCCTGGCATTATTACCCTGGACGTTAAATCATCATCATCTTCTTCTTCCACCCACCCCACTTTGGCCTAAATATATTCTTCGTATCTCACCCGTTGACCTCGTTTTTCTTCCAACAACAATTCGGCGGTTTTCGGCCTTCATCGCATCACTATGTCCGTCGCAGAATCTCCTCCGGGCTCATCTAGCCTGCTGTCCGTATCAATGGGTCTGCCAACCTACTTCTCTACTTCCCTCTTTCCTCTTTCCTCGATTAACGTCATACTAGTCCCTCCCGACGTTGCTGAAGTAGGTCGCTTTCTAAAGCACTCGTTGGGTTAGAAGCCCTCGAGCCCAGACAAGAGACCGAAGACATCTACCTCGACAACACTCCCGAAGGAAACTTCGAAGCGGGCGATGCCACCGCGCCCTCCTCCCCGTTGACCGCTTTCAACGAATCGACCCCCGGGGCTGATTCACGACTGCTTCGATCCGTCATCAGCCGTGACACGTCGCTCGCTACGGTTTCGCCATCCGCAATCAATCACCTCCTCTTGGCGCGATGCATCATCCAACGCGGCGGGCAGGCTGCCGACGAGGACCTGATGCAAGTATTGTTGGGGACTGACGCATTCCGCACGTACTACGAGCCGGGGCTACTAGCATACCACTACAGCTGGGACAGCTTTTAGGCAAAGCTGTCATCCAGCCGAGTTCATTTCGACAACGAGTACGAGGTTTTGTATTTATGCCTAGAGTTCGTCTACCGACCCCCCACACCAATCGAGTACGATGGCCAGTTCAGAATCGCTCTGGACCAGGTGCTGGCTCTCTGCAAAGACCGGATCGCCAACGAGGCCGACGCGCGCAAGGCCACTCTTTACTGGGAGATTCACTCGCGGTATGATATTCCGTCGGAGAACGCTCCGTCGGAGCAGCAAGATGCGGAGGACTCTCTTCCTGACGCGAGCCATGAGCCGAGAGCCTCTGGCAGTAACAAGGATGTCGACGATGTCAACGATGCCGGCGAAACCAACGATGCCGACAAACTCGATGATCCATGCGACAAAGACATCGACAACAAAGACGACGATAACGATGACGACGTCGTCTTCCTCGCCGCCGCTCCCCTGGAGCAGCCCACGCACGCTGCCGAGGTGGAGCAGCCAGCCCACGCTGCCGAGGTGTCGGTCGACGACCTCTTGGAATCCTCGGATGACGCCGCCGGCTGGCGCAGGACGTGCCACTTCTTCGGTCATGACGAACACCACAAAACCATGGATCCGGAGCACTGTCGCCAGCTGCCCGGCACGAAGCGGAAACTGCGACCATGTCAACTCGACGATGTTCGGCGTGTGATCGAGCGGGCCGCCACGGACGGACGCCTCGGCGCCTTGCTTGCGCATCCCATGGGCGTCGGGAAAACCATCACCTACCAGGCCGTGATCGCGGTATGTCGACTAGCGCACATCAGCCAACTGCACGCCGCAGCCCAGCCCGAGCTCCACCACAGCCGGGATGGACCTCACCGCTGTGCCCTGCGTGGGCGGCCCTTCGGTATCCAATGCGCTTGTGAGACAGACGGCTTGACGGCCCGGTTTCTTCGGGAGTTTCCCGAAGGCGCGACGCTCATCATGGCCCCAAGCTCTGTCGTACCTCAGACGATCCAGAATGCCAAGGCATAATTCCGTCGTGCCGTCACCATCCACCTGCCGTCGGGTGAGCCGAACAAGCCCGACCACACGGAGACATTCGATTTCATCAAAGTTGTCGACTGGCGAATCGTGGCAAGTGCCAAACACGTGGAGGTCGCAGCAGCGCGGGCTGTGTGCGAATACCCTGCGGCGGCGGACTTGCCCACCAAGACGCGGATCTCCCAGACGTACGTGGAGTGGGAGGAAAACGGCTCGAAGCTTCTCCAGAACGCCAAGGTCCACCCGACGATGACAGCTCCGGCCGTGGACGCCACCCAGCTTGTTTTGGTCGTCGGCCAACAGCGAGTGAGCGTTGACAAGAGCTGGCGCAGGCTTTGGACCGAAGTAATTGAGCTGCCGATACGTAACGGCAGACAGGCGAGAGTTTTGGCCGGCGGCACATACTTCTTCGGCCTCATCGTGTGGGACGAGGCCCACCAGGTTCGCGGCCTGAACACGACCACCGCAAAGGTCCTGTGGGAGATGCTGTCGCGGCAGACGCGCAGCCCGATGGTGGTGTTGGCCACCGGAAGCCCCATCACCAGCGGGTTCAAGGACCTGGCGCTGATGCTTTCCATGATCCGCAATCAGCCGGGGCAGCGGCAGGCGCTTGCTATCCGGGCCGATCTGGCCACCCTCGACACCAAAACGGCCAGTCTCCAGAAGGGAGCCGGTGAGCTCATCGTGGCCGGGGAAAATAGGTCCCTCGGCAAAGATGTCATCGCGGAGTGTGCCAGGTTACTAGGACGCGACATTTTCAAGAGGGGCCCTACCAGCTTGTTTTTTGGTCATCCGATTATGGAAAAAAAGGAGGTTGTTACGGAGCGAGTCGAATGCCCGATCGACCCCGAGTTCCGGGACGCCATGGATAGCCTCGTCGCCAAGGTGGGCAGCGCGGTTGTGCAGAAGCTACAGGCCGCCCGGGCAGCAGACGGCGGCGGCGATGACGCAGCGCCGCGTCGATCGAAGGGCAAGCAGAAAACGACGTCGCGCGCCGACGGCGACATGGCCATCATCAGCAAGAGCCAGGAGGTGCGCCAGCTGGACCTCGCCACTCACCTGCCCGGCCTTCTGCGGACGTGGAAGACGACGCAGATCGAGACTCGCTGGACGGACATCGTCGATGCGATCGGATACGGCAAGGGCCTGCCTGTCCCGCCGACGTACCTCGACAAGGCGCGCGTGCCTCCCGGCATATGGAACAGCCTGAACGACGTCCTTGCCGACTGCAGCCGGACGGCGAACCTGCTCGACATCTGCACGAAAGCTTTCAATGACTGCCAGATCTATCCCGATGATGTCGAGTGCGGGCCCGGATTCGGCGGTCCCAAGAACGTCGTCATCTTCACCAAGTGGCCTGTTCTGGTCTATCTGGTCCAGCTGTGGTTCGAGACGAGGGGAGACGACAGGTTCCAGACAGCGCTCGTGCACAGCGGCGTGCCGGGAGAAGAACGCCAGAAGATCATCGACTGGTTCCGGGAGTTCAACGAGCCACGCGCCGGGGCCAGCGGCAAGTACGACCTCAAGCGGCTCACCAAGGTGTTCATCACCACATACGCGGTCAGCGGCACCGGTCTCGACGCGCTCAAGGTGGCCAACTACTGCGTCCACTTTGGCGTGATGAAGAATGTCAACGAGGAGAGGCAGGCGACTGGCCGGATCGACCGACAGGGCCAACTCCTCACGAGCTTCGTGTACTATTTACAGTCGATGGCCGAGCCTCTCGATCGGCTGACAGCGGGGATGAGAGATATGAGGAGCGCACTTTACGGGGAGTGGGGACTGTTGGAGGAGGTCGTCAGGCTGTTCCAGCCGCAGTGTCAGGCGGTCCAGACAGGATCGCAGTAAGAAGGACGATGCGGCCATGCTTGTGAGAAGGTCTGGTAGATGCTTGCTTGGTATGATAGCTGGATTAATGAAGACTGATTGTTGCCACGTCCTGTCCCCATCTAACATGGTGCTCTGGCTCAAAGACTCCAATGCTTTCTCGATGGATTGGGCATCGAATTCCCTCAACTGACGGGCCCAGCTGAGCAGCCACCTGGAGTCGAGAAACAGTCAAGGTTGCCTCCTATTGTCACTTAGAATTGGTGTCGTCCATTAATTTGAACTCCTCAAATCTCCATTCCTGAGGCGGCTCTTCCTTGAGTGAGATGTACTGGAAGGTGGTCTTAACAACTTCTTTTTAGTGTTCCAAGACCTATTGCGAGTGTCACTATTTGAAATCAAAATTCATGCAGTTTCCGTTGGTTATCTTAACTCTTCTTTCAAGTCGACCCTTATGTAAAAGAGGTTGACGGATCCGGAATAGGTGGAAGAGAACGAGGCCCTCAAGTTCTCGGCCCATCCCTTCTCATGGAGTTAGGCCATAATGCTGCCTGGGGCCTCATGTCCAAGTAGATGACATACGTACCGGCCAGATTGTAATAACACGATCATATGTCTTTGATCGGGGAATGGGAAACATATCTGCAATTTTCAGATGTTCTTGACCGTCTTGGCAAAAGCCAGGACGCCAAGCTCGCTCTGACGAAAGGGCACCCCATCCCAGTGATTTGGAACTAGGTCATTGTTGGACCTCACGAGAAATCACGCCTCGTTACCCAAGGATATGCCGAAGATGGGAAGGAAGCGATTCTTACACAGTCCCCTACTATACAACAAGCAAGCCAGCGTCTGATTCTGGCACTCGCCCCGTCTCTCTTACGTGACGGTCATTAGCTGGAAATGATTACATACTCCGAGGCCCTGGCAAAGTTAACGGTTGGTCGTGCTTCACGTTCGCCTGGTGTCGGACCAACTGGTCTTTTCTTGCGAAACCGTCCTTGTTGGGGCACCCGGGTAACATGCACTTGTGAGGTTTGGAGTGCTTCTGCAGGTGCTGCCTGTCGTCCACTTTCGGACAGCGTGCCGTCAAGAGTTTGGAGGAGTGGCAGGTCGAATGGGCTATAAGGATGTTGCCCAAATCGAGTAAGATAACAAAAGTTGGAAAATGGGTCGTGGGTTCGGGAACGACTGGGCAGTGTTGCTCCAAGGACAATGTCGAGGCGCTCCAAGCGTGTCGTTGAAGAGGGAGGGAAACGTTCCGGAGTAATCCAGGCCACAGTGAATTAAGAGGCCGTAAGATGAACGATGGTGTTGGCGATGGCGAAGGGACAAGAGGAGTTCGGTCACAACTCAACAAGAGGATGTGGGCAAGGGGGCAAATGGAAGATGGAGGATCAGGTGGAGAGGGCGTCGACCTTGAACCAGGTGACGGGTCGTGGGGGGGGGGGGGGGGGGGGCCGAGAAAAGAGACAAGACTACAAGACACGAGGTATGGCGGGAGAAGGCAAAGACAATGAAGGTCAAGACAGTATTGGTGTTGTGGGTTCGGGGCAAGTTGCGAATGAGAAAAGGGGCACGAAAGAGAGCGAGGAAGCGTGAGACAGAGGGAAATGCTGACGCAGACGCGGTCTCAGGCAGAGTGCCATTCCCTTACCTCTTTATGCCCGTATTGAGCAGCTGTGCAAGGCTAGGGACTGGGGAGAGACGAGGAGGAGATTCGAGAAAAGGAGAGAGGACAGGATGAAATGGGCCGCCCGGGGAGGTGGGGGGAGCAAAAAAGAGGCTCAGCAGGCAGGCATGGCAAGGCAACGAGTGCGGGTTAATATTCTGCATGTTCCATTCCCTGCATGTCTAGGAGGGCGCAGGCCAATGAGATCGTTGTCTGCTGGCTTCGCGAATATGGGCTGGCAGACTGAGTATAAGCAGAGAGACAAAAGAGGGAACGGAAATGGGGTGTGTGCCAGAAAGAAGCAATTGCGCGGCTTGAGCAAACAGGGCAAGTCGAGAGGGGAACATGGCCGATTTTTACGCAAAAGTCGTCGTCTCTAGGATGGGGGCAGAATGGTCGTGTTGCTCATCCTCTGGCAGGCTCTCAACACCGCCTGAACAAAAGAAATGCAAAACAAGTGCGGTGAAGCTAAGGCCTTTGATTGTAGTGACCAGCAGGCTGGTTGAGAAAGGTTAGAAAGAGCAATACTTGCTGGCTGTGTGGGTGTACTTTAATAGACAGCGAGGATCCGGGTTGCGGTCTGTTCGTTTTTCGTTTCCAACCCAAGCTCCCCCGCTCGTGTTATAGAACAGCGCCGACGGGAGAACTCAGGCAGCAGCTGCCTACAACGAACTCTTGCAAGTTGCATCTCGATCTGTTAGACAGGTCGTGTCCATTTTTACCTTGTACCGGACTGGAAACGAAAAGGACTAACGGCAAGGTCTTCATAGGGAGGTGTGACATTGGGAGAGTAGCATAAAAGAGAGACAAGTGAAGTGTTTATCACCAGTCAGCCTGATTTCACCATCCCGGCAGATTCGCCAAGCCGTCGCCCGTAGCGGAGGGGGAGCAGGTTGACATTTGCCTCAAAATGGCTGATCTTTTCCAGGAATGTCCATCGATGCTCTTGTACGGACTTTGTTGTGTCATCAGTATCCGCCTGCAAGGGTCAGGTTTTCCTCCAAGAAGATGGCTCTGCAGACAATTCTCGCTGTACTTCCACACCTCAGGGTGTCAGTGTACAACAGAACACCTCTCGGTGTGTATCCACCCACCTGCTTTCACGCCGCCGCATCCCATCAAAATCCTCATTTCGCTTTTAATATCCACCTCGCTCACAACAACGACAGCGCTTACTTCCGTATCTCACGAAGGCAGCGGTAGCTGACTCAGAGCCGAGTTCGCAACACACTTACTATCATCACCACCACTCGAACGACATGGTACGGCTTGCTTCGACGCTTCCTCGACGCTCTAATCAGCCCGTGAGCCGTGGCCCTGCAAAAAGGAACTAGAGGAAGATCCATGGGCCGTTGCGCATCGCGACAAACCTCACCGCCTCCGCGCGCCTTATCCCCACTACGTGCGTCGCCGACATCGTCACTACTACAACTACTGTCACCTCGTCGTTGCCTGCCGTCGACACAATCATAGACAGGATTTACTCCACAGCGGCTTATACCACCTGATCTGTGACCTATCTCACCACCTTTAGTTGCGACAACTATGAATGCGTCGGTTGTTCAGACTCAGTTGCAGTGCTCCGCTGCAAGAGATGGGTACAATCCTTATGACATTCCTCCGCACGAAAGCCCCAAATTGGAAGCTTTAAATCCCAGGAGAACGCCCTCACCAAGCCCTTTGCCCAAACTCTGTGTATGATCGATTGTGTGGGATTTCAATGGCGATCTACCTGTACAAGCAAGAAGCTTCGAAGTCGACACTTACGAGGTTGGCAGTGTGAGGTTACGTGCCCGCTACGAGAGTTGAACATTCCCCTTGGCTTACTGCAAATGACTCGGATACTCCATCCGGCTAATTTGAAACAAATTGACACAGTCCTCTTGACAGCCGTTCCGGATCTGCGTTGAAGTGCCGGGCGGATTACACAGCAGCGTCTCGAAATGACACTGAGCAACAGTCAAACAAGACAGGAAAAGAGAGAGCAGGGAAACAAGACAAGCAATACGCAATACGACGATCAAAGGTAAGTCAAGCTATTAATAGGTATTCATGGTTGACCTTTCTCTAGTGAAAGTTCAAGCTTGAGACTGGCTGAATACGCTGTAAACAAGTGACATTATACGTCTATGGAGCCCACGATGGCTTGTGACATGAGTGATGTCTGGATGGTTCGAGCGCCGCATTTCCTGAACCCATGCTCCCACGTCTCTGACTGCTGTTTCCGGACAATCTTTCTTGCCTATGAGATAGTTCTGTATGGCGGATGGCGAGAACTCATTTGTGGGGACCGCCTTTGCGAACTCTTCAGCCAGGGTCTCAATCTCTTCTTTCTCACCCGACACTAATGAGCAAAAGAGGGATTTTGCGCAGTCCTCGTCTGCTAACTGGAGGTTGTATGTTTTGTCGATTCTTCCAGGTCTGATAAGAGCTTTGTCGAGTGTGGCGGCACGATTAGAAGTCATGACGAGAAGGCGGTCTTCACGTGCCCCTACGCCATCGATGAGATTGAGAAGTGCGGATAGTGTAACGCCCACCCTTCCTTCGATGGATGATGCCTCACGGTCGATGACGCCGGACACGTCGATGTCCTCAAATAATAGCAGGCACTTTGACGGCAGTCTTTTAAATAGCTTAATCAAGTGGTTGTTGGTCATATCAGGGGATCCCAAACTGACTTGATAGATTGGCAGTTTGAATTTCGTTGCCAGAGCCATACACAGAGACGTTTTCCCGGTGCCTGGGGGACCGGCGAACAGATACCCGCGTCGGTGAGGAACGCCCCTGTCCTTATACCATTTTGCCGTCTTAGGACTGTAGAAGTCATCCAGATCTTTGACCAATTCTTCTGTCATTCTCGGAGGAAGGGCCATCGTCTCTAGTCTCCGGGACTGGCTCGCAACATGGTCCCACCCGGGCGTCTGATCCTTCGGATCAACGACTGCTTGGTATACTTCCACATCCTGGCTCTTCGACGTCTTGAACTCTTGATGAATCTCTTCGACGACGTCTCTAAGATCCAAGCCCTTGGAATGCGTTCTGAATTGAAACGATTCCTTTGGCTCCCCCGGAATTAATCGGTTGCTGACTCTCGTTATGCAGACGTCATGGCCCTTGTACTGAAACCAAACCGAGCCCGCATCTGGGGTAAACACTAAGTCCTCGCCCGGGGACCAGTCTCCAGAAATGGCTCTTCGTATTCGCAAAGGATACGAGCCTCGGTCAGCCGTAGCGACCAGGTGCTGAGAACCTAACAGCTCATGCTTCCAGCCCGCCCAAGCGATTACGCTCTCAAACAGCGAGTCGTCGTTGTGGATTTTGATCGTCTGCGTATTTCTTTCCCAGTACTTCT